GGTTAAGCGAAGGCCTTCGGCTCAGGTCATGATCCTGGAGTCCCGGGATCGAGTCCCGCATCGGGCTCCCTGCTCAGCGAGGGGCCTGCTTCTCCCTCTAACCCTCCCCCCTCTCATGTACTCTCTCCCTCTCTCATTCTCACTCTCTCAAAATAAATAAATAAATCTTTAAAAAAAAAAAACTACTTATATAGGAAATGAAGTGCGCTGTACCACATGACGGAACTAATACATGAAATGGACATAAAATTCTCCAAAGCATAAATTTAAAAGGAATATAGATTTTGTTTAATCATGAGGGGAAACATGATAACAAGAGCTTTGTTCTTGTCCAGCTCTGCCATTGGCTAGCTCTGTGAACTCTGTAAGACACAGTGAGGTCCATAACAAGCTTATGGGTCACACAATTTAAATTATGGTGTGGCAGGGCATTGATTTGCACAATACAACAATACAATTCAGATGTGCAATAGCAACAAAACAAACGAAAGTCCTATTTGTCCCACAACTAATCACATCGTTGTGAGGCTCTCTTTCCCATGGTGGAAAGACCATAGGGGAAAATGAAATACTTAAATTTGACAAGTCAATATGATTTGATCTCAAGTTTTAAAAAGTCTCCTTCAGCGCAACAATTTTATTTGGACAAATAGTCAATTCAAACTCACACTCAGAGCTAAGTTCTTCCCTCTTTCTTGAATTTCAATATTCTCCCTTTCCTTCCTTCTTCACAGTATAGTATCCGAGTAGAGGGCAAGTCTACTGTATATCTGCTTCTTGGTAGGGCTGAGGCATCTGGTCTACCTGCTTTCCTTCCCTCACTGCTCTCCAGTGTACCTGTCATTGGTGCAGACAGGCTCCTGGGCACTTTCTACCAGTGTCTCTGGAAGTATAGCTAATCCTAGTGATTTGGGGTGTTATGCTCACCCCTGCTCCTTAGTGTCCTGAATATAGCGGTCAAAACAAATCAAGACGTAAATGTCTGAGAAAGTATGGGAACAACCATCTTATTCCAACTCCACCCACAACATCAATAGCCATCTATAGTAGATGACTCAACATGTTTTATCTCCAGTCCTATTCCTTGAGCAGCTGACATATGTGGCTAACTACTACTTCATATCTCCGTCTGGTGCCTGAAAGACACCTCAAATTGAATATATTCAACCAAATTCATCATCTTAATCCCCCCCCCCAAATCTGGCCTTATTTTAGTTTTCCTTACAACTGTAAGTACATCTACCATCTACCAGCTATTTGAGCTAGGAATTTAGAGTTCATTCTTAAAAGCCTCTCTACCTCATCAGGTGCAATTATTTCAACCTCCTAATTACCTCACAGATCTGACCCCTTCCTCTCTGTCTTCACTGCCCCATGTCTCTCAACTGGGCTTCCTCAACGGCCTCCTGACTGCTTTACCTGTATCCATTCTGGCCTTTTAATCTGCTTTCCACCTCAGCCAGAGGGATATTTGCTAAGTAAACACAGTGCCCGCAGCACACATGTGCACGTACACGCACATGCGCACTTGCACACACACACACATACTTCTTAAAACTCTAGTTGGCATTCTATTATTCTAAGAGAAAGACCAAAATATTTCACACGCATCTCAGAATCCTGTGTCATCTGACCCCCACTTGCCTCTGCAGCTCCCCTCACACACTTGCCTTCACTCCCTGAGTTCCCGTGACACTGGCCCAATTTCAACCTCTCAATCTGAAAGGCTCCTTCCTGACACAGAGCCTCTGTCTCTGCTATTCCCTCTGTCTGGAAGGCTCCTCTCTCCACTTAACCCTCCTTTTCCTGGCTAACAGTAACTCTTCCTTTGAACCTCACCTTAGCATCATTTTCTCAGGGAGCCTTTCTAACCTTCCTGATGATGATGAAGTGATCCCCTTGTGAAATGTACTTTCTCTCAGCTCTCAGTTTACATGTATTCATATGATTCTTTGATTAATGGACATCCCCTTTTACTAGATTATAAGCTTCCTGAGAGGAGGAACTGTATCTACTCTACTCACCACTTTATCTTTGGCATTCTGAACCATGCATGGTACATAGTAAGGTAATGTCATACATATTTTTTATTTCTACTCATTGAGTGCATAACTGATTGAATGAAATCCATCCAGAAACTCTTTGATGATTATATTTTTTAAAATATAATAAGTTATTGATATTTGTGGAATTGACTGTCAATGGGAGAAATGTTTTTAGGTTGGAGATTTTGACAGCTGTTTATGCCACCTATTAGCTTGGTACGCTTTGGAAAATCATTTAACTCAGCAGCAGCATTAAAATAATAATACCTGTTTTCTGTTTTCAATCACAAAGCTACAGATAAATAGTCAAGTATTACACAAATGTAAAGCATTATGATTTTATTAGCAAAGTTTAAAAGCTTTCTATGCAAAAGCCACAAAAAAACACATAAGAACACATAATTAATGTTGAAAAAAGCCTATGATTTCCCCCACAGACTTTAATTTTATATTAGTCAATACAATGTTTAATCAAATGTTACGCTAAATATTTATGGAACATTCTTTAGGTAACGAATACCTTGCAAAAAATATCTATTTCCTATCATGTAATCATTATTACAGTTCAGTTCCATGGGTGGTAGCAGCTCCTTCCCCATAGATGAGGAAACTGAGCTTTAAGCAGGTAACTGCCTTGTCCAAGGTCATGAGCTAGTAAGGGATGAGCGAGGGTTCCAACACCTGGTGTCTGTGACTTCAAAACCATCCATGCTTCTGGAAATTTGGGCTAATTTAAAGGAGAAATTTTATCAAACAAAAGTAGCATTTCACTTTTTTTGGTGGTGGGGGAGAAGATCATTATTAAAACCCAAATTAGTAGCCTAGAAAATGGCCGTCAGGAAATATCTCAAAGACCTGAGAAGAAAGTATAGAGATAGAAATCATGAAGGAAAAGTTTAGAGACTTAGAATCTCTATGTCCAGAAGACCTAACAAATGAATAACAGATACTTTAGAAGGACAAAGGGACATAGATAAGAGGAGGTAGTAGTTAGACAAATAAATGGAGAAAATGTTTGTGAGATAATGAAAGACTTAAGTCTACAAGATTGAAAGAGCTCTCTGATTTCAAGCCTGGAATATTCTTAGGCATGCCCCAATAAAATTTCTGATCTCTTAAGTAAGGATAAAGAGAAAAAAATCTTAAACACCCCACCAAGAAAAAAAAAAAAAAAAGCTACCTACATGGGAAGAAAAGAAATCAGACTGGCTCTCAGAACATTGGAAGTTAAACAATAGAATGAAATCTATAGATAAGAGCAAAGACTGCAACTGAATTCTATACCCTATGGAAGTAGGATCACCCTTCCATGAAGGATGTGCAAGACTTCAGAGAGTGAATCATGCATAGAGTCCATCTAAGGAAAATAACTCAAGAACATTCACTTAAATAAAAAGTGAAACCAAAAAGAAACCTCAAGATGAAAAAAAATAAAATAAAAGATCAGTGAGCAAATAAACCTGATTGACTTGTACATAAATCTTGGTGCAGATACATGTAGAGCTGAAGATATAGGTATAAAAAAATAAGGACAAATGATCTGATATTGCCTAACAGAGGGTTAAAGAGGGATGCTTGAAATAGCAGAGGAGGAGAACACCAATAGATACGAATTCCCAGCAAAATCTAGAAATTGAGAGTGAGGAAAAAAGAAAGGATTCCAAAAGTTCAATGGTAGAAAGAGAAGAAAGAAAAGTGGAAGGAAAAGAATTTTAATAGTCTCATCCTGTAGGGTGGGGGGGAACTGGAGAAATAGAGCACCCCACAGTGAAAGCGCTCTGAGTTAGGGAAATAGTTTATTTATCTGCTGGAAGACGATCATTAAGAAAAGGGAAAAATACACTACCGCTTCCAAATTAACAAGGGGAAAGAAACAGAATGAATATCAACTAAAACCAGCTAGGTTAAGGAAAAGGAAACAAAGTAATGAAATGCAAAGACTGAAGAAATAAAGTCATTATACTGAATGTGAATACATTGAAGTATCCTAGTCAAATACCAAGACTGTCAGCTCAGATTATATTTATATTGCTATTTGCAGAAAACACACTTAAGTTGAGTGATAAAGAATGACGGAAAATGAAAAGATCATCAAGGAAATACCAGACAAATGCAAACAAAAAGAAAACAGATATGGGAGTATTAATACCAGATAAGGTGAAATTTAAAGTTAAAGCATTGGGCGCCTGGGTGGCTCAGTCATTAAGCGTCTGCCTTCGGCTCAGGTCATGATCCCAGGGTCCTGGGATCGAGCCCCGCATCGGGCTCCTTGCTCAGCGGGAAGCCTGCTTCTCCCTCTCCCACTCCCCCTGCTTGTGTTCCCTCTCTCGCCGTCTCTCTCTCTTTGTCAAATAAATAAATAAATAAATAAAATCT